TGAAAGTTAAAGTTTTGATTACCATCACTCGCGGTGGCCTCATAGCTAGTGCGCTCGACCGCGGCGGACGAGTGGTCAAGGTTCGAACCCTGGCCGCGGACACTTTGTTCTGTTCTTGGGCAAGGCACTTCACTCTATCGGTGCCGCTTCCCATCCAGGTACACGTATATAAATGGGTACCGCCAGATTTAACACTGGGGATAACCCTACGATGGACTAGCATCCCATCCAGGGGGGAGTATAAATGCTCCTACTCGCTTCATGCTAAAGAAACCGTAGATAAGGGCCGGTCTGATGGGTCACTTGGCTCATATGCAGACTTAACACTACTTTTATCTTCACAAATTTATCAGGGAGCTAGAAAATAATGAGTAAATTGGTGGCAAAAATCATAATGGAATGCTAAAACAAAGTATCAATTCTCCAATGCTGCTCTAGAAAATCACAAAAATTGTTTAAAAACGAAGAACGTGCAGTTCTTGTGGTCAGTTGGCACCCAAAGAAACTTAAAAATGGCTTTTTATTTCCACTTTAATTTATTGATTGGCTTCAATTGCATTTTTTATGCCAAAAAATGCAAAAATATCTAAATAACTGCGAGGCGTATGAATCTACCATTTACATTTTATTCTTCTTTATTTTACACTTTTTTATATAAAATTTAAACACTTTACATGTTGCACTCTCTTTCCGAGAGTCTTGTTCAGATGTCACGTGGTAGGACCCGGGTATCTAAACTTTGGTCGCCGTGGGTTGCTGGCGGTCGTGGTAGACTGGGGTTTACTGGCTGGTATGTGATGCCTGGTGGAAATAGCAAAGAGTCCAGGATTTCTCGAGGTCAGTTTCATTTGTGATAGTGGTTTATCTTCTGGTTGAAGAAGAACTGAAAGAAAGAGAGAAATCGATAGAGAAGTCAGTTAGATTAAAATAATGAAAATCTTAGTTCTTTTCCTTCTTTTATTCGATTTTGACCACTAATTTGCCCGAATAATCCCACTAGACTAAAAACCGATACTCAGATATGTACGACTTGAAAACAGAACACTTTTTTTGTTTGTTTGTTTGTTTGTTTGTTTGTTTGGTTGGTTGGTTGGTTTATTTGTTTTCTTTTGTTTTGTATTTATTTTGTTTTGTTTTGTTTCTTTTTTTTCCAGCTTCACGTTACTGGGCGTTTCAATAACACGTTGAATGTCGTCTCAGTTATTGACGGCAGCCAATAATCGACATCGTTATGGCTTGGGCGGATGCAGGATTTTAGAGAAGAAGATTTGAGATACGGAACACCGAAGGCGCCCCCCTATAAGGGGGTCCGGGGGCATCCTGGTTACGAAAAATTTTAGAATTGAGATTCCTTGAAATGGGATTTCTGGCATTCAGAGGCCAAGTTAGCGTGGTATGTCTCTTTTTTTTATTTAGGGGGACCCCGAATCGCCCCCCGCCCCCTTCAGATCCGCCTCAGGTTCGTTAGGTTTTAAACTTCAGTGTTCGCGTGTAAGTGAAGTCACTGAAAGGTTCAGTAAAATACTGAATAAAATAATTGTTAAACACAACCCTACCTCGTCCCAAAACGCCCTTGCTTAACTGCACTCCATGCATGTGACACAGCTCCACAACATCGTTGTATTCTTTCACCGTCATCTTTCGGTAACGATCCACCATTTCCCCTATCCTACCCCCCAGAGTGGAAGGTGCCACTGACACTTTTTCGGGTGCTGCTCGCTTCCTCTGCTTGGCTTTTTCTTTCTCTTTACGTTTTTGCTGTTTCTTCATACGTCTGTTTTTTATCTGTAAAAACAAAGAAACAATTCAAAAGGTACTCCGTGTAAATGGCATGGACTAGCTCCCAACCATTCATATGGTTTGAGGCCGGTAGTGTAGGGTACGTTTGCACGCGTACCCCAGAGGGGAACTCCCTTTAAAAAGGGTGGGGATGCTTGTAGGAAAATGTGAATGAAGCCTCTAAAAGAGACCAGTCTGAGCGTGGCTCAGGCGTTTTCCTCCCCTAATAGATATCACTTTGCAACGGACACACATATTCTTTTTTTTGTTTTTATTTTGTTTTTATTTTGTTAATTTATTGAATGATCTCTTCGAGTGCAACCCTAAAAGATACCTTGAAGGCCAAAAATAGTTGCCTTTCCTCCTGAGGCCACGGATGAGGACGAGGCCCTATCGATTTATGACCCAAGCGTGAATCAGGTTGGTCAAGAAATCGGCCGGAAAACACATACGTGTTTATCTTACAGTATGGCCAAGAGAACGAGATTAATAAGATGTTTATTATCAATCTCCTGTTGGATCAAGGAAAACATTTCCAGTCAAGCGCGCATTGACTTTGTTGTTGTTGTAATGTAACAGCTAAGATGTATGACATCTAGAAACAAATTGCCTCTTGCTGACAAAAACATGCAGGTGGGTGCTGGCCAGATTGACAAACTTAACGACTGCTTTCCAGAGCATACATGTAAGCGTAAGCTGACATACGCAGACGCAACAAGATGCTGACAATTAGCGCCTTTTGCTGGAAATTTCCCAAACAAAAGGCGCTAGTTATCAACATCTTGCGTGTGTCAGCTTATGCTTATGGAAACCAACCATTCTCGTCCCCAAAGGCCGCGCTGGCCAGCACAAAGATATCTCGACCTCTGGCCGGACCGCTTTTCTAAGCATGCGCAGTGTTCATTTCGTATTCTAAGCCAATCAGATTTGCCAGATTTGACGGGAAGTCCGTGAATCACCGACTTCCGGTGTTGGACCAGCCCAAAGGTCGTGATTCTAGGTGCTGACCAAAAGGAACCCCGCCTCTGGGGACGAAAATGGAAAGCAGCCATAAAGCCTACCTCATCTTGCGTCAGTTGCTCAACTTTCTCCGACAACTGAACAGCAGGTATTTCCAGCAGGGTTGGTGACATATTGCTCTCGCTACTACCATTGCTAACTGGTGATGCAGGACGAGGATGTTGCTGTTGGGGCTCAGAGCCTGGTCGCTGCCCAACAAAGGTCACAGGCTGAGCCTGGGCTGAAGAAGGAGAATAAGGACGTTGAGGTGATGTTGAGGGCCTCCTTTGGGTGGTGGCCTGTGGTGAGGAGGGTCTCTGAGGGGATGCAGGCCTCTGTGCCCCAGTACTGGGCCACTTGTCCTGTAATGGATCAGAAACAGGTTCTGGCTCCTCTGGAATGGTTTCCGGTCTTTTTGCAGCTTTAACACTGGGAGTATGGACAATCTCAGCCGCTTGTTTGGTGACCCTTGAAAAAGACACATGCACATTGGTCACTATATATAAACATGACTTGATCAAGACATAATAAATTTTTCTGCAATGCATTTTGTTTATTATTGAGATTGAAATCTCCAAAATAAGAAACATACATGTTGCCCTTTATACTGATTAAGGATATACATGTACCAGTATTTCCTTGGTGAAAAACTTACAGGATATTTAAGAATCAACAGTTTATTAAAGGATCTTAAGAACAAGGGCATAGCTAGGGGGGGTCCCGGGCTGCCCGTGACAACCAACAACAGCTGGCAAAAACGCCATGACAATCTGGTGAGTGCCCTCACTTTAACACAGTGTGACCCCCTCTTCAAAAAATCCTGGCTGCGCCCCAGCTTAAGAAAATCATACACCAGATACAAGTTATGTAAAACTACATGTATGACTGTGTGTAAGTCAGTAGGTCTCACAAACATCTTGCCAAAGTCTTAGAAAACATCATTAATAAACCCTCAATCTTTGAAAATCCTTATGAATGGATTTTATACACGATATAGCAGCATACAACGAAAAAGGATGCTTGATTCCACTTGATTCAAGATTTTTGCTGAGGTTAAAACTACGTTGTACACAAGTGTGAATCTAAATTTGAATTCTGAATTTCAATTATGTTGTTATGCATCAATCATCTGCCATCCCCTGGGGGGAGGGGCCATCATCCTCACCTCTCCTCTAAGTATGACTGTCTCCCCACAGCCAGCTCCCTGTAATCCAAGGCATCACTGTTATCTCTGTCAAGGGCAAGAATCAAATCCTCCAGATCAACCTCCTTCAGTGGAATTCGCCATGATCGAATGATGTTTCTGAACTCTTGCCGTGATACCACCCAGTTTTTGTCCTTGTCTGCTTGAGAGAACAGATCTAAGAGACGCATCCTCTTGCGATCCAAGTATTCTTGAATGACTGCTAAGGCAGCAGGGGAAGGCTGGCGGATAGTCGGCACCCCCCTGTCTTCACCTGTTACTGTTGTTGTGTCCTCCTCAATTTCTGGGGGAGGGGTTGGTGCCTTGTTTGAAACAAAAGAAAAAAATATTGAGAGAAAATTCTGCCCTGACATGGCATCAAAGTAGGTTGTTAGATATACAATTTATTCTAGGATATCTGCAGTTACAGTGTACCTCAAAAAAAAAGAAAAACAAAACAAAAAACATACACTGTACATGTAACATCCTTGAATCCAGTCCCAACATTACCTTCTCTTTACTATGCTTACTGTTACATGTAAAAGTCTATAAGCACCTCTTGGCTCACCCCCTCCCTCTCCTCCAACCCACTCCTTCCCATTTTTCAAGGGCTTCTTCCTTTTCAGGAGGTCAGCCAAACAAGAACTGCAGTAGACAGGCTGGGTTGCAATGGAACAAATGGATCTCAAAGCCCAGGATTAAGATAAGTGGAGGAGAACTGCAGATACCCTATTCTCCTATCCTACCTGATAAACTACATAGAGGAGCAAAGGAGGTATTAGAGATAATTTTTCAAGATTTATTAATGGAACGGTGTTGGTGAACTAAACAGTGAGGATCACTTGTTGGAGAGGAAAAGATAATTTCACATATAATTTGTGTATTTCATGCCACAAATTTCTGTTTTTTGGACACAACTTCACTTAAGTCCAAACTTTCTATATACTGTAGTACACCAACTCTACCGCCAGGTAAATGTTTTCTGTTCCATACATTCTTACTAAATTAATAGGCTTTATACATGTCTCAAGTCTTACAACTACTGAGAGCTTAGTCACAGTTGATTCAGTGCCCTTTTAGGTTAACTAGCGGACTAATATCAGGTTAACCAATTACAGGTTCAGTATTGAATAACGATTCGCCGAGGCCAGGGATGCGTTTGAAGAACAAGAAGAAGACAGACTTTTTTGTACTTGGATACCTACGCCATTTGCACATATACTGTGCATGCTTTAATGGCTTCCTTCTCAATGTTTCTTACAGTTTTAAAACTTATGGAAAGCGCTACTGATTTTTCTGCTCAAAAGAAAATCTCAAAAGACTTTTTTCAATTTCAAAGATTAATTAGTTATTGGACCTTGTGTCGTACAAGTCAAGGAGTATTTGAGCTAGTTTCAAATCAGTCTCGCTCTTCATGCTTGTCCAATTTTGAGATTACTTGCATGGTTACTCCCTGAATTGTACTCCACTCGGTCCAATTACTATTACTAATTTTAGAGTTACTATCACTCAGGCTCACTGCAACTATTAATTTCCCACTATTTATGACAAATTTGTAACCATTCTGTGTTTGCTATTCACTGCTAATAAAAGTTTTCCAGCCACCCAATAATAAATCCAAATGCTAAATGTAATCTCTGCGGCAAACAACAGGTTAGGGATACATGTATGAACAGCATTCTGTATTGAGAAAGCTGGTGCTCAGTATTCGTCATTTGCCATTCGGCATTCATGACATTTAGTGGTTAGTAACATACCCCTGCCAGACGTGCCCTTAAATCTAACTTGCTGTCATTAGTTTACCTGTTTGATTGTGATCTCCGGTCTTCCCTTTAGAAGCATTCTTTTAAGCACCCTGCTCTCTAGTTCAGTCCTGCCTGTTTTATTTGTAAGCCAGTCTTGCTTGAGTCCACACCTATTTAAAATCTCTCTTGTCTTCTTACGTTCCTGCAACTGCTTTTTGTATCTTTCAACTTTGGAACTAAAGCTGTCGGTTTCTGACTCGTATTGAACATTCTTGTCTAGAAAGTAAGAAGGATTCCCATTATTGAATATTAGTTATTTAACTCCAATTGTCTGGAGGAACCAGTTGCATGCGACTGAAAGAGGGAACAGTAAGAGGTTTTATAATGCAGTGGTACATCACTGCCTGTTCAAAAATTCAAGACAGTTAAAACTAACGTTAAATGTAATGTACCAGCTTATTGAGAAAACTCGTAGATTTGACACCTTAAGTTAGCCGCATCAAGTACAGAGAAGGCCCTAAATATGTAAGACATTTCTGGCTTAGCATGTTATCCGTAATAAACATCTACTAAACATCAAAGCTTTCAAGATATTAGAGAGTAAATCAAACAGATTCTAAATCTCAGAGACTTTCACTGGCTTAAATTCTGCAGATTCGGTCGAACATTGAGCGATGTTTTTTTTTAATACTAAAACAATTGATCCAGCCATCCTGTAATGTTTATCTTCTTACCTTTGTCTTCTGTTGTCGCAGAAACATCTCTAGCAGCGCATTTTATGCTAGGCACAATAATAACTCGTTTTCTTTTGAGCTCTGTTGGTTCTCCCCATCTCTTCACACTTTCGCGATATTTCTTAGATGGCAAGAGATTTCTAGCCTTGGGCGGTTTGATTCCTTCCCCTTCACAACCCTCGGGTTCCGATATTCTTAAATTCATCGAGTATAACACGAAGTATAAAATATTAAAAGGCTAACAGCGAGTTAAACAACTGCAGTTCAAAAGTCATCGTTCGTCCGCCATCTTGGAACCTTTTTGTTACTGAGTGTGTTGCTACGTGGTTGCTATGGAACATTGATTACATTTGTCGCTCTCCACGAAGGTCATCAGTGAAGTTTTTGAGGGAGGGACCGGGGACTTAGCTTCTGGATCAAAATTTTCGTTAGCTCTCCGAGTTTTAAAGAAATACAAATGTCTAAGAAAACTGTTATGCTGCTCGGCTAAATATCACTAGTCCCGGAAGTCGAGTTGCCATTCACTAAAAAGGAAAGCCTAACGTTTGAAGCGATCAAAATTTTCGGAAATCATCAGGCAGTTTACTTCGTCAAAAAGTCGAAAGTTCGTGATTTCAGGGGCCCTTTTTTAGGGTTTGGCAATCACACCAAAAATTTTAAGACCTTAAAATTATGATATTCCAATTTCTGATTACGCTTACATATAGAATAGCTTCCATTTGGCGCGAAAATATGCACAGATTTTTGTCCTCGGGCCGACAGCGTAGCTTGAGGAAAACTGTTCGCTATTCGGAACAGATAATTTTCGCGGACAAATATCCTAGCGTATTTCCGCGCCAAATGGAGGCTATCGTTCAACCATTTTCTCTCCAAATAGAGGCTATTGTGTTTATTATCCTTCAAATATTTTTCGCTGCGCGCGCAGTTTTGGAAATTGGGGAATAGCACTTGGATATTCCCCAGTTTTAGCTGGGGCATTTTCAGTCACGTGACGTGTTTAGACCAATCGTGCACAAGCGAAAATATTTGATGGATTATAATTAGCTCTTATTAACCGAGC